AGTACTACAAGTCTATCTCTGTCCTTCTACAATCTTGTCCCATCTGGAGGCAAAAATATTTTTAAAGTACAGTTATGTTCATCAAACAAAACTGAAGATCAGTCATAAAAAATTAATTTGACCAGTATATATTGTACAGATACAGTTCAGTCTGAGGAGAGTCCGCCAAGATCCTTACATCCACCAGCAAGGTGAAGGAGGACCTTGGAATTCCCACCTATATTTTATTTTTAGTTATTGTAGATGAAGAGTGTAACAGAGAAGAAGAAAGACTTCTGGAGTGCAGCTTCAGAACTTTCATTTGTAAAATGCAGGAGGTTATTGTCTCCTCTTCCTCTGAAGAGAAGTAGTCCAAGCCTTACCTAGGGAAGTAAAGTGACCTTGGGACCCCAAGACACTACCTCATGTGAAGTATGCACTAAGAAGAATAGAAGGAAGAAGGAGCTGAGGGTAGGGAAATTTGACTGATGAGAACGGTCAGAGGAAGTGAGTTTGTTTAGTCTAGAAGGCTTGAAAATGAGGGAGGACATGGTGGCAGTTTTCTGATACGTGAACAGTTAAAAAAAAAAATCATTTATTTTTCATGATGCTCACTAGTCTTAGGACAAGAAATAATCAGATTAAGTAAAGAGCATTTAAGTTGTGTATTAGGAAAAGGCAATTCCTATTAAAGCAACATTGCAACAGGTGGTACAGGCAGCCTAGGGTGAATAGAAGTCTTCCTTCACTGGACATTTTTGGAAGACAGATAATTCTCCCAGTCAGATAATCTTGGCAAATATCATCCCACCTCTGAGTAAAAGGAGGGCATAGATGATCCCCTGTGGTACTTTGCAACTTTATACTTCTGTGATTCTAGGATCCATTTTTTGAAACACGTAAAGTTTCTAGCAGCAGCCTGCTCTTTCCAAAGCTGCTCAGCAGCCTTCTCACCTCTCTGGAAAACCCATGGCACATGCAGTGCTGGATCAAAGACCCTTTTCCATCTTGGCCACTGCCCAGAATCTTCCTATGCCTACTGGATGCAGAGACAGTGCTAATAGATAGCTAGTATACTCCACCCTGGAAGAGCCTGGGTGAAGCAGAGTATACTTCAATGAACATATTGTCTTATGTTCAACTACCTAAAAAAGGCTACATACAAAAAATCCACAGACTGCATGGGGATTGAAGAGCAAGAAAATCATCCAGAACCTTACAGTTTTAATATATAAATGTCATAGCTGGACACAATTTAAGAACAAAGTTATGCTTCCTCTTTTCCATCTTGGAAACCTCAGCAATTACTCTCCAGGCCTTGAACAGATTTGTCCAACTAGAAGAGAAAGATTTCCCTGCTGCTTTTTGCCAAGCTTCATCCTAAAATTACAGCTTCTTTTCTCTGCTGTCTTATCAATCCTTTGTCTTCTTGCCAAAAAAATATCAGAAGTCCCCTGTAGAAAGGAGGAATCTTATGTGTCTCTGCTTACTGCACAGCTAGAAACATCTAAATTGGGAGCCAAGGAAATTGTCTATTAAATTCTGAGGGTTGAACATGAAGATGGTTCTTAAAAACTGTGCCTTTTCTTGCTAGGAATTCATTGGTTCTATTAGCCTCTCAAAACACCTGTTCTGTACTTAGCAAAATCTAAAGCAATTGTAATGCTGCTCAAAAAGAGAAAGGCAAAAGTGGAAAAAAAATGGTTTGTGACTAGTGCAGATCTCTTAAGATCCTTCAGCTGTCTTCCATGCTTAGAGATCCCTGCTGAGTTGCCTAATCAGAGAAGTTCCAGATTCCTTGTGTATGTGACTGATTCCAACTTTCTTATTCAAAATTAAGCCCTTTCTCGCCTTTCCATCACCATCTTTGAAAGCCATCACTGATGGGTCTGTGAGGATGCCTCAAAAGTCTCTGCAGTCCCACACTGTAGCAGAGTATATATGAATGCCCTGTGAGAAGGAATGCAAGCTCTGCTTTTCACCATCCCATTGGGGAGAATAAAACTCTTACATTTTTTCTTGTTCCATAGAGTTGTCTTTACTCTTCTAATTAAAACTGCATTGTTGAGCAATCAAGTACGTGATTTCTAACAACCCCAGACAAGAGCCATTGCCCCAGCCTCTTAAATCTGGCTTGGAGCAAGCTCTTTATGTTGCTCAACTCCTCATCTGATCACGACATACACAGACAGTTCCATGAAATACCTGCTTCTCCTCTCAAATGCAAAATTCATTGTTTTTCTTCAAAGCTGGCATCCCAGCGCATTTTGTTGCTCTTTGTCATGGCATACTATATTTAAAACATTTCATTTTTAAAAATTCTTACTGTGTTGCTGTTTTCTGCCATCTCACTGTAGCTAAAAAATTACTCCCAGTAACAGCAAGTCATGTTCTTCTTGATTTTCTTTCTTTGTTTTCCTTGGGGTGTGTTGTCATATATGAAAATGGGCATGTCAAGCTGAAAAATTGCCTGTAATCCACCCATTCATCTTTAGTGCTTCAGATTTCTGCACACTTTCCCTGTGGAAGTTTCTTCCCATATTACTCTTTGTTTTCTTGATCAACACCTTGTAAATCTCCACTGTAGCACTGTTCAGGGCTCTTCATTGCCTCCTTGCTCTCTGTCCGCTACTCTCTTCTTCAGCAGCATTCACAGTTTATTGTATCTGCAAAAGTCCTCTCCTCCAAGTTTGACACATCTCATTCAAAATGGGACCGTGATCAGGAGTTGCAGTTTGCTCATTAATTGGTCACCTGGAACTACAGCAATGATTCTTATGCAGTCAATGATGAAAATTGTTATCTGCTTTTGTTTGCATGTATTCCACTCATCTCCATTTCAATACTTATTATCAAAGGCATTAGGTACATTTGCTTATTCCAAAAACCAGAAATCCAACTCATATTCTAAAAAGCATCTGTTCCAGAGCACTGCTGGCTCTTGTAACCTCTTGAAAGCAGCACCGAAACTGTAGTAAGATCCCCTATTGTACTGATGGCTCCCCTTACAGGGGAAGAAAACCACAAAGAGAGACAGAAGGAAGCCACCAAAGGTAGCTACTATGCCATGTTTCTGGCATATAATAATGCTGGTGGAGATCACAGCTCAATTTCTGAAGAGTGAAATAGTTTTCCAGGAAGATCAGATCATCCAAATCACTTCCAATTTACCAGACTCTCTCCTGGTCTCCACTTGCTGGCAACAAAACAAATACCCTTTGCTGTAGCTCATCCTTTCCCTTCTCCTCAGTCCTCCTGGCTCCCTTGCTCCTGGGTCCCTCTGAGTTCCTACTCACGATAGGGTACAAACCCTTGCCTGTTGCAGCAACAGTGCTCTTACCTTTGGTTGGTAAATCTTTGAGTTTGGCTATCTTTGGGTAGCAATTTTAGCCTCCAGGTGCAAAGAAGGAGCACCAGGTTACCAAGATGCTTAGAACAGAACCTGTCTCCTCTTCCCTATGGGAGGCTGCATCCATCTCAACAGGAATGTGAGGGAAAAGTGAGATATTTTCTCTCCCTCTAGTTTAAATATCCTCAAAATAAGACATTGTTTTTATATGATAGTTTCACAAATAGATGGGCATGATTTTGAATGGGAAACTAATGGGAATAATAAGCATTGCCTTCTAGGACTATTTAACATGGAGATTTTAAGCTGATCTCCAAGAACACAGCTCTATGTCAGCTATTTTCTCTGTTTCTACATATAATTCTGCAAATGTGTGTTGGGCTACCATGAAATAATTTACTCTCATACACCCTTATCCAAAATAGTACTTAGTAGTTTAGATCAGGACCAGTTCTGTAATGTCATGTTTATCTTAGGACTCAGTTTTAATAAATGGTTTGCAGAGGTGGAGATGCCTGGGGTTTGTAAGGCATTGTGGGAGAGGAAGCTGGAAGGAAGCATGTAGACCATTTTTGGTTCCTCCCAGGAGCAGAGATAACAGCTGGGATTTGTGTGCCTAAGGAGCGCCTAATGTGGGAATGCTCACCAGCAAAGTGCCATGCCACAGTCTATGGCTTAAGACATTGAGAAATGAAAGGAATAAAACCATGTAAAAACTGCAAGTTACTTAAAATTTAAGGAAAGAAAACTTTGCCTGTCTTACACAAAATACTTACAAAAACAAGCCTTAAACAAAAGGATTTTTGGAAGTATTCTCAATAGATTCAAATGGCATGTTTCCAAAGTGTCTTTTGAAAATAAGGAAGGGCAGATTTATTGAAAGGTGCCTGTAGGGGGAGATGGTTGCCCGGGAGATTGGCAGTAAACATTTCATCTCCAGGTCACCAGCTCAAGCCAGCTCGGCTCACTAGTGGTCAAAAGCCTACTGTATTATTGTCATTGGGAAAGGACATGAATCATTCCCAAGTCTGTGGAGACATGAAAATGTCTGGTTCAATAACATACATAAATTATTTTCTTAGAATGCTTCTGGGGATGAACAAGCAGCGCCAGGACTTGGACTTAATGATCTTTGTGGGTTCCTTCCCACAGGATCCAGTATATTCGGTGATTCTGTGACTTTTGGAATGTTTATAAAAATACTAGTTTAGAAAGTACTAGTAATTTTTATTTAAAACAAATCAACCCATTAACTACATAAAATATACATAAGTTTTCCCTTCCCTTCCCTTCCCTTCCCTTCCCTTCCCTTCCCTTCCCTTCCCTTCCCTTCCCTTCCCTTCCCTTCCCTTCCCTTCCCTTCCCTTCCCTTCCCTTCCCTTCCCTTCCCTTCCCTTCCCTTCCCTTCCCTTCCCTTCCCTTCCCTTCCCTTCCCTTCCCTTCCCTTCCCTTCCCTTCCCTTCCCTTCCCTTCCCTTCCCTTCCCTTCCCTTCCCTTCCCTTCCCTTCCCTTCCCTTCCCTTCCCTTCCCTTCCCTTCCCTTCCCACATTCTTTCATTTGCTCATTCTTTCTCTTATTCTCTCTTCCCTCCTGTCTTCTTTCTTTCTTTCCTTTTAAAGAATAATTTCAATTTACTTATGAAGTCACTAAAAGAAGACATAAAAATTTAAAGGAAGCTTTTACCATCTGTTTTATTTCAAAGTATAGTGGACCATTGGAATTTCAGGGAAAAAATTACATTTGGGACCATTTGTCTACTAGAAAACAATAATAAACAAAGTACTAAACAAAATGTTTTGCAGCAGCCACTGTCTGAAGTGTGTGGCAGCAAGGCATGATATGCTAAAAGGAAACTTGATCACATTTGATTCAGGGTGATGTCTTTTATTAATCCACTGGAGAAGGGAACAAAGCTTGAATGATTTTTATTTAACAACAAACAGACAATAATATCAACAGTGCTTCCCATTTAACTTTTGGCAACCATTAATATGCTGTGCACATACCCAAGCAAAGGAGACATTTTCCCCATTTGGTTGGTTTCATCTTTTGAAGCATGTCTCCACCAAAAAGCAGATTTCAATTTCCTTTGGGGACCACAAAATACCCAGCTCTTTTCCTCTCCCTCACTGTGGTTAGAAGTTTATTTTTCAGTTGTGGTAAGTGCTTTGCACCATATTTATCTGCATGTTGTTTGTTTTAGGAGTGGAGCACAGAACATACAGACTTCTACCAGGGGAAAGACTAACAAGCAAAAGCCTGTACAGAAATAGTTTAATGAAATTGTTATGGGTAACCATACTGGTTTAATCAAAAAGTCTGCAAGAGTCTCTAGACCATAGCTGAGGAGCTGCTTCGGCAAGAAATATGTGTCTGAGGCTTGCACACAGGCCCAACCAGCAGTGAAGCTGGGCTGTCCTTTTTTTTTTTTTACCTAACCCCAGGCAAGTTACCCCAGCAAATCTAACCCCAGTAAAATACCTAACAAATCTCAAGGGAGATTTGCTATATAATTTCTGACCTTACTTCTCCCAGTGGCCTTACACATAAACACTGTTCTTGCAGTTTTATACTGGTGCAATGGCAAATAATTGACATTGACAGTTGGTTAAAGTGTTAAATCTCATGGAAAATAGGCAAAGTGTCCTATGAGAACTCTCAACTTCTGTAATTTGTGTGGTGATTCTACCAGCAATTTTAATAATTACAATACATTTCTAATTGATTTGAAGTTATGTAAGCCTTAATAGTATTTGGCCTTCTTTTGGAGGACATCAGAGAGACGTGGAAGTGATCACTGTGTTGTGAGTTGAAGAGGTTTGTCATCTTCTTTTACTCTATGCAGTCTGAGGCAAAGAGAGAAAATCATAGTTAAATCAACGTTGAAATGTTTGTTAAGTATGTTTGCTTGCATATGCCCATTTTTCACATTACTATATTTTTCTTCCTGAAGATTTATCTGCATGAATGGAGAATAAATATTATAAGGTTTCTCTAAGTAAAGGCTCAGCATTTTGAGAAATCAGCTGTGTATATTTATTTATTATGAACATCTCTACAGTGCAACCACTCCATAAACAGTTGAATGGGATGACCCAGAAGATGTTTTTATTTGGAAGCAGGAAAGACGCAGAAAAAAATACATCCATGTAAAACTCACAAGGAAAGATGAGCATGTTTCTTGTTTGTATGTAGAAAAACCATACTTTTCTTGTTTCTTTTATTCACTTTATACATTTTTGCTCCCTCAGTTGCTGGCCTTTATTTTCCATGTAAACATGGAATTAATTAATTTCCATGTAAATTTTGCACCTGTAGTAATTGTCATCCCAGTTTTCTTAGAGTATCACTCTCCCATCTCCTGTAATATCATGCTGAATCAGAATAAAACCAGTGTGTCTCGGTCTTGTCATAGCATCCCTCTTATACATCACTACTCTTTTTCTGAAGTGCTGTATTTCAAATGTATTTTTTATGAAAATGCATTTTTGCATGTTTTTCCAGAAATCCTACCCTGTCTTGTTGTAGAAGTCATCTTTCATCCTTTCATGCCCTTTTCTGCCCTTTCTGAGTTATTTCACCTCTGCTGCAAACAGTACAAACGATTATTTGCCTTCTATAGTTGCCCATAAAGGTGTTGTCCTCATGCAGACCTGCTTTAGGCAGCATCACCAGCAGGTCAAGCGAGGTAATTCTTCATTTCTGCTCAACACTGATGAGTGCTACCTCCAGTTCCAGACTCCCCTCTACATGAGAGACAGGAGCACCCCACTGCCAGCCCAGCAATGGGCACCAAACTGGCTGTGAGCTGTTGCACAGGACTTTGGAGGAGAGGCTGAGGGAGGTTGGACAGCCCAATGTTTCACCATCCTCACAGGAAGGAATTTCTTTCTCATATCTAATAGAATTCTATGCTCTTTCAGCTTAAAGGCATTGCCCCTCATCTTACCCCTACACTCCCTGACAAAGAGTATTTTCCCATCTTTCCTGCAGATCCCCTTTAAGTACTGGAAGGCTGCTGTAATGGCTTTCCAACAAAAGGTGAGTTTGTTCCATTGAAAATGGGGTCTTTTTGTCCATTGCTGAGAAATCCTTGGCTTTCATTAGCTTTTGGCACATGGAACATTTTGGAATAAAATATTCTATTTAATTAAATAGAATAAGCAGATAGAGAGCCTGAACAACAAATAAAATACATGAATGAAAATGGATGGGAAAATAAATGGACATTAACTGACAGGGCTACTCTGTAGCATTTTTCATTACCACTTCAATCCAGTTCTTTTTCCCTGCATTGTTTTTTGGTTTGAGTTTTGGGGGTTTGTTTCATTTTTTTTCCCCCCCACATACTTGCATGTGTGTATTGGTACTTAATATTAGCCTGCAAAGAAATGTCATTTTTAAAATGGAAAGAATGGAATTTTAACAGCTCTACTTACCCTGACAAAAGCCATATTCCACAAAGCACTTTCATCTAGATCCCTGTTTAAGCAGCATTGAGAAGCACTAAGGGTTTATGGAGGCAAAGATGAAATTAACTGATTTTTTGGAGGGGAGGGTGTAACTAAAAATGAATCACATAGAACAGCCTTTGCTAGTTTTGCAAAATCACTTTGCAGGAAAACTCTTACTGATATCAGTGAAAGCCTTGACTGAGTGTAGACTGAATTAATATTAAGAAATGCCTACAGTAATGGCAGGAGCTTTTTAGTGCAAGCCTATGTAGAACATATTGGTTTAGAGCCATTTTCAAGTTTTTAAAACCTGCATTTAAAATAGTGATTATTTTGCAATACCTAGTTTCATGTCAGAGGGATTTTAGGAAAGTTTCCTGCTAAATTGTGACAAATCATCATTAGCTAAAACTGGACCCCCTTTTTTTTCTTTAACTTTGTTATGCAAACATGTACCACTGTACTTACTCATAATATGAAAAAACAGTTCCCTGTCAACCTGAAGCTTCACTGCGCCATTCAGAACAGTGACTCTTGCACGATGATCCCAGCTTGCTGAGCTTCCCCCCAGGTTCCGCAGCTGCTGCTCGGAGTCCCCTCTGCTGCGGGCTCCTCGCCGCTCAGCTCCGGCCGCACGGCTCCCGCGGGAGGCTCGGCAGGCACACGGCGCTTCCCTGCAGGTGTGGGTAGCAGGAGGAGGCAGCAGAAGCGCTGCTGACCCGCCCCGAGATGAGAGCACATCCCCCAGGGCAGAGGCATCAGCAGAGAGCAGCGGCCGATGCCGGCACAATGAGGCTGTCCCGTGCTATGCTCCAACTCTGCGTGAAATGGCAACGTGGGTTTCCAACAGCACGGCTTTGGGTTTTCAGCTGGGGTGTGTTTACATGCAACCCCCCAGCTCGTTGCAACACCAGTTGGGACATAACCTGGGGCTTTCTTGCTCAGGAAAATAGTACATGGCTTCCAGCAGGGAACCCATCAGCTGTTATCAACTCTGCATTAAGCAAAGATGCTGAATAATGGAAGTACTGTCAGTGTTGACAGGCCAACAAAAGCAAGTGGTCTACAACCTAGCTAGCCCACAGAGACCTGTAACTTTAGCTGGAAATGCCCGCAAGAAGGGAGAGCTTCAATAGCAATGATGGGGATATTTTGGTATTCAGCTATTTTTGCAGCATAGTGGTTACTACATACGCATCTAAAATGTTTACACCATTTACACTGCATTTTAACAAACACTGATACTATATCTTAGAAGTATTATTGTATAGAGAAATTGACTAGTGAGTTCTGGATCTTAGCTGCAGGGTGCTATACCCCATTGCTTGATGTTTGGCCAGTATTCTGCTGCCTGCTACACTGCCTGAATGAAGAAAACTTGAGTAATGAGTCTGATATCAAGTCAAATTTGTAGCAAAGGGGAGGTCTCATGTCTCCAGTTAATGGGAATGTTAGCCCTGGGAGAAAAAGTTATTTCCATCTCCTAGGAATCCTAACTCTATGCCAATGCCTTCTCTGCAAGACCAGCATTGTCTCAAGACCTGATTCTAATCAGAGACCAACGCAGAGTCTCCTTATTTATGCCCAGCTCCCTTTCTCCAGCAGCTCTCTTAAAGCAGCTCACAATGTCAATAGCATGTGCTGCTAGCATGGAGCCTTTGCCTGCACAAAGGCCATCTGAAGGGTGTACACTGGGAACAGACATTTTGCCTAAAGGACCCCAGATCTCTCTTGTGGGCATCTAGGGCTTTCTACCATAACAACAGCAGTCACTCTTGTCAGTCAAAGCTATTTAGCTCTTTTTGACATTAGTTTTTGCATTGCTTCAGAATTCACTCTGCAATGAGAAGATAGGATGCCATATGCTCCCCAAAAGAACCAAGAAAAATTTAAACAGAGGCTATTGATTGGGTAGAGTGTGTTATAAAGTTGAGAGTTTCAGTACACTCCACATTACTTCTCTGACTTAATGGTCCTGGGACAAGCCTTTCCTGAGACTCTTTCAGCAAAGCAAACAGACAATTCACTGAAATCAAAAGAAAGTATTACAGATTGAAACCTGCTGAGGGTATGGGGATATTCCCCTCATCTGACTCAGAGGAAGCAGCAATTAAGTAGCATTAGGAAAGAGTTAGAAGAGCCAAGTAAAGATGTGATTGCCTTGTATGATTGTCTTTTCTACTTCTGGAGCGCTGGGGTAAACATGATGTCCACAGGGCAATATTCTACATCACCCCTGTATAAAGAGAGCAACTACCTAAAATACAAAGCAGGAGCATCACATTCAGTATTTTCTGCTAAAATTGAGCGAAAATTAGGTTTATCCATATTTTGTTACTTATTCTGGAATTTGGCCAAGTTAACAAGGTTAATCTCATTCTTGCCAAGTCTATGTCACAGGGTATGCATGTGGTCAGCACCTTGGCAGCTACAATGTACACAGCCTCTGTTTAGATAATTCTTTTCATACACATACTGTAAAAGGGCCTGGCTTTTACATACAAAGTAATTGTGAACCGGAATGTATTTATTGCATGAGTGCAGCAAAATATTTCTGGAAAATTATTTTCTTCCTCCCTGCTAATCGGTTAAAATCGCATGGGATAGCCAGGGTATAGTACAGATGGAAATAATCAGGAAAATATTCAGTTTCCATAGGAGATTTATTTTTTTTCCTCAAAGCTTAGAATTTGACTACTCTTATTTTCATGTTCACCAATCTGTTATGGCAAAAGATTATCCTCTTCTCCTAAGGGCATCTTGATTACAAGTTTTGGACTTTGGGTTTGAATTCAATAGAACTGTGGACTTCTTCAGGGAAAAAAACACGTCTTGCCCAAAGTGAACTCTCCACAGACTTCCACTTACAATCAGTAGAATCTCCAGCCAATAATTCACAGCTCCCACTTCAGGCTCCTACTTTGAATCTGGCAATGACACCAAAATTAGGTGTGTAATGTGAGGCCAAATGAATTCTTTACTTTGGTTCTTTCTGGTGACTAATGGGCCATCTTGTAGGAGATTTACATCTGCTTGTTTTCAGAGATAACAATTAATATCCAGATAAATGGTTTAGACATGTACAAATAAAGCTGGAAAGTACCATTCCTCATTGCCACTTTATGCCTGATTGATCCCTGCCTTTTGGCAAGAAAAAATATCAAAAATATCACAAATCTCCCTGACTATTCCTTGTACCAAAATGTTGTCCTCACGCTAACCTGCACACAGAGTATTCCAGAAATAAGGCATTTTGGGACAAGCTGAGGAAGAGAGACAAAATGCCTACAGGAATTTCATATGCTGGTGATTTTGTAGAGGGTCATTCCAAAAGGGAAGCTGTTTGGGGTTACTGGTACTGCGCCAAGTTGATGCCTATCAGCCCTTAAAAAAATTAATGTCATTATCCTTGGCACAAGGATATATTTCCCTCTTATCTTTAACATAAGCCAATATAGAGGGAAACGTACAAAAGGGAAGGCATGACAGATGTGAATCGCCTCTATTAACTTGCAAAACTCATGTACATGTGTCAAAACAGCATATTAAAATGGATTAGCCATTCATACAAATAAGAACAATATGTGCATTTGTTTCAGCTAGGATAAAAATCACAAAGGCAATCAATTCTTGTACAGCACATGTGAAAAAACTTCTTGGCGCCAAGGACTGCGTACCCCAAGTGTTCAGCCATGTGTTTCAAGTACACAGTTTTTGTTTTTTTTTTTTTTTTACTTTCAGGTTACTAGTTTGCTCAGAAGGCCATGAGAAACCACAGCTTGAAGGGAGACATGATGACTTTACACTCCCAATGTATTCTCTAAAGTCACTATTTTTTGTCTTGAACTTCTTTCCATGTGGATTTGAATCCTACTCACAGAGCCAAGCCAAAATTACTTTAAACTACGGTATAGTAAATACAGTTGTTTGGATAATAGATTTGTATTGAGGCATGTTTTTTCACCCTGAATCTTTTTAGCTAAACTTTCACCATACACAGAGCTGCCACATAGCATGCACAGAGCACATTTTCTACCAGTTGAACTCCCACTGTCAACCATACATGACAACCATATTGACAGATAGACTATATTTATTTAGTAGGTTTGGGGCCAAAGAAGGATGTTACAGCTTAGATGAGCATAAGTATTTTGTTATTAGCACATAATATTCCAAACAATTTTCCCCCTTATTGGTATTTTGTGCCAGAGGTGACATGAAGCATTGTTTGCTCATTGGTTTTCATATGCAGCAAAAATTTTTAGTTGCCCAAGAGTATGCAGCCATGTCACATAAGAAAAATCCCAAAACACCAGGGTAGAAGAGCATTATATCTCTTGGTAAAGATATAAGCTCCAAAATCACTTCCAAAAATAGCCCCCTCCCTTGCCTTACAGCCTTCTGAAAAGTCATAAAAATGGTAGACGAAATCACAGCAGTCAGTTCTCCCTCAGTTCCTTTGGCAGCTCAGCACATCCATACATTGCCCACTCTTAAATTAGACCCCAGTGATCTGTTTATTTCAATGTCAATGTCAACCTTACAGAACTACACTGTTGCTCTGGAAAACAATTCAAAAAGCACAAGATACTATTTTGGTCACACTTTGGGCTGGTGTCCTTGCAACTGCAAAGATGCTGCCACAGTTGTCCCATGTTTTCAAGCATAGAAGTGCCCCAGTTTCTCTTCTGAAATAGGAGCACTGACACTTTGTGCAAATTCCAGCCCTGACAGGTCAAGCTGGCTGTTGGTGGCAAGGGGGACAGGCTGTGTGGCAAGGGGAAGAGAGAAGTCTCAGGGGTCACTGGTGGATTTTGTTGAAAGTTGGCTCTATTTAGCCCAGGGTAAACTGTGGGAATGAGATGTAACCACAGTGGCTGCTATCAGGTTATGGCCATATGCAGAGATTTCTGCCCACTGCTGTTGAGCCAGATCAGCTTTGCCACTGGTATCAACAGCAAAGGACTTGATTCTCAGGCACCTGCTTATAATTCACTTGAAATATTTGACTTGCTTTCAGATAATGTCTCTTTTCAAATATACTTGTCGATCATTTTCATGTTTTCCCTTAAATATCAGAACTTAAGTGAAATAAAAACAACCTCAGCCATTCCTGAGCTTCTTTGCTTTCACATCATTTCTATTTTAATTAACTGGAGAATAAAAATCAGTATCCAGCTGAGATGTAGGGTCTCTTTTTTACTGTGGAATCAAGTCTCCCACAAAAAGTAGACATTTGTGCTGGAAATGCCAACTCAAATGAAATCAGAAGACTGATCAGGGATGTCAAGACCACCAGAGATTAATGTTGCATTAAATCCTTGCGGTCGAAAACAAGCCACAACAGCCAAGCCCCTTCTCCCTGGACAAGTGCTACACTTCACTGCTCCCCAGTTTCTCCCTTCTTTCTCATATTTCACTATGTGAGTATGTATGTGTGTGTGCCTACACATATGTGGGGAGGGGGGGAGAGGGGGGCTAAACTATGCTGTCATTATGCTCTGTTTCCTCTGGTAGTCCTGCTCTCTTCCCCGCTGCCTGCGCTGCTGTGCGTGCCAGCAGCATCGATGCACATTCAGTGAATTATGCAGAGGCGCCTCCGAAGCCAAAGGAGGAGGTGACAATTGGTGGTCATCTTTCTCTGCCTGACAGCATATGTAGAATAAGTCCAGCTGAACAGATTTATGTCTGTGCTAAGGGGACCAGCAGATTATTTTTGCCATTTACTGGCTTGAAAGCTCAGTATTTCAATGCCTCCCTGACTAGAAAGCTATTGGGCACAAAATCCTGAGAACATAAGAACCAATCTTAAAAGTGGTGTTTGTGCCTCCTATTTTTCC